GCAACGTGCTTTTCATGAGGCTCCTTCTCCTGGAAACTTCAGCTGGTCCAGGATGCAATAGTGCAGGTGCTAATGCCCATGTAACTCCACTTTGTGAACTACACTGGTTGTCAGTTTGCTTCTCGGTGAGAATTAGTGTTGGTTGTTGTCTAGGGCCTTGGGGAACCTCCTGTCTTCCATATTATCTACTCAAAAGACAATTCAATCCAGCAACATTGTTTCACTCTGGATTCCAGGACCCTAGAAACACACTTTCTCTATAGCAATACCTGCCCTCTGGAATAACATTCTCCTAACATTTTAAAGTTCCCACAAATGTTGAAGGGACTTAAAACATGTGGCTCCTTATCTAACCTTTAGCAAGGACACCTCACATTCCTTTTCTTTGTTCCTGAAACATGTCCCTTTGACTCCAGTTCAATCCAAGTCTTTTGTATTTCACAGTTCAGAGAAATCAGCAGCACATTTCTTGTCCGCGGGTCAGAGCCTGGTACTGTATCTCCCTGAATTCTCCATTTTTAAGGCTTCAGAGAAACTGGAACAGGTTCAAAAAGGGCAGTGAGGATTATCAGGACTAAAAACACGGATCTAGGACATTTACAAGAATGCCCAATTCTACATCTATTGGTGTTACACAATTAAAAACACACAAATGACATAGAACAGAAGACTTAAATGCAGGACCTGCCACCCACTCTAACCAAGTGTCTAGGAACATATCCAGAGTGAGCAGCAGGATAGGGGACGGTGTCCCAGATGACATTGAGAGAACTTTATTTAGAAGACTGAAAGGGGTATTGATCAGCATTCCCGGAACATTCTAACTTTAACATGTATTTGGGGGCATTCTGGAGGTAGTCCATTTCCAGTTTATGTTCCCAGAATATTTTATTTGGAGGCCTACATTGAACAGGAAATGACCAAAGCAGCACTTCAAAACCTTCTAATTCCACTGTTTTTATGGGATTCCCATGCAACTTTTTCAGAGCTAGAGCTCCTTTTGAAATCATGTTAGTAATAATGTTTTCTGTTTTTGCAGCACCATTGTCGAAACTGCGGCCACATCTTTTGTAACACCTGTTCAAGCAATGAACTTGCACTTCCATCATATCCAAAGCCTGTACGAGTTTGTGATACCTGCCATACGTTACTGCTTCAGAGGTGTTCATCAAATTCTTCCTAAAATCTATATTCCAGAATGTTAAGACTAGGGAATGAACCCAACATGTAATAGTTTTTTAATATTCTAAATTCTATTAACATATACGGCACTGTATATTATATTCAAAAAGGAAAAGATTTAATTTATAAAAATGGGATACCAAAATCATGGAAACTATTTTTTTATAGATTAAGTGCCAGCAAAATGTCATATTCAAAAATACACAATTTCAGGTACACACACTTATTTTTAAGCTCAAAAAATTTATTGTTTGGATGTTAACTTTATACTTCGTTTATAGATTTGCTCTAAAACAAAATTAATTTTCTGAATACTTCATGGATCTATCTTCTGTAACAGTTAACCAAAATTTGTTGATCTGTATATAATAAATGAAAATGTTATCTTAAAAGTTAAATCTATGGAAGCAATTTTTGAAGAATGTATGCTTGGATGTGCCTTCTAAATCTTTCAAAAGTGAACAGAATAACATATTGTAAGTTATCTGTGATTACGCAATAAAACTGATCCACACTTGTTATACGTTCCGCCATCACTAATTTTTTTTATTAAATTAATAAAGTATTGCACACTTTTAAGGTGTATTATCTATGAACTTAAAAAGTGTATACTGCAGAAACTAATGGATCTGTCCTTCCAGGATTTCCATAGAAATACGGATTTCTTATGACCAAAATTGGGATGAATTATCTTTTGGTGAATGCAGTGGTCATAGTTAAGCTTGATTGCCACAGTCATTAAGTTAATCACCGTGGCCAACTGAATCATTTGGTTATTAAGCGATTTCAGCTTCCTCCACTGATGTGTTTGTCATAACTGTCTGGCAGGTTGCAAATGGTGATGTGACACCCCCTCTCCCCCAATGATGCTGCAACATTGTAAATGCATGTCTGCTGCCAAGCATCCCAATTTGATCACCCCGGGGATGCTGCAACAATCATAAGTCACTTATTAGTACTTTCATAACTTTGAATAGTCATTAAAATCTATCCATACCCAATTTTAAATTTATGCATTTTTTTTTACAATTTGGCAGGAACTACATAGCTTTTCAGAGTAACTCTGCAAAGGATAAAAGCTGCACAAACCACACATAGTGAATGTTGTCATGTCTTTGTAGCTTGGAGACTTAGAAAAGAATGGCCATGAAATGAACGCCCTGAAAAAGCGTTTTGAGTCTTCAGTTACTAATTTGGATCTGTTGAACGGAAAGCACTTTTTAAAAGAGGCAAAATTAAAAAGCATCATTAAAAACATGGTTGCCTAAATATGTTGCATTGGTCTAGTAGAATAGGAATAGGAATCAGTGTAACAAAACTATTCATTTAAGTTGGAATAATTAAACAAAACAATTTGAGGACAAAAAAATTGAGGCATGTTTGAAATTCAGTAAGGCAAAAAGAAAAATATTTAAATGGTGGAAGTAATAACAAGGTTCAGAGGAAAAGCTGGACAAGAAAGACACAATTAAAAAGTTAAGTGATGATATAGAAAGAACCACAACATGAACAGGAAAGGTAAATAAATTTCATTACTAAGAGGCAAACTGGGATTCCTTCCCTAGATACAGTATACATGTAACATTGGAGATAAAGTTTCAGTGACTAATGGCCTTCAAGCAATTATAAGGCTTTTTTCAGGTACACTCAGTTCAGGCTTTGGTATTTCATGTAGCAATCAAAGAAATCTTTGATTTAAAAGACCTCAGTTGAATACACTTCAGATGCAATGAATACACTCTAGCCTATGTTAAAACCTAATGCCCAAATAATATTCTTCAGCTCAATCCTGTATTTATTATTTGGCAAATGTTCTCAATACACCCACCCACAACTCTTGTAAACAACTGAGTATTACATTTATATATTGCTGAAGAGAAATTGATAAAACTAGAAAAATCACATTGAGATTTATCAGACATTGTTCTAACAGATAGCATTCCTTTCCCCATCTTTCAACATTTCTTTCCCCATCCCCCAACATTTAATACATTGTATGGATAGTCCTTGCTTACTGACCAGGAACTCTTGACATCAAATGATGCAATTGTAAGGTACGCTGTCACATAACCATGCCAATTTGTTTATTCTAGGAGTCCCTGTTGCCATTGTTATGCTAATCCCAAAGTCCCAGCTTCCCATGGTCATTTGATCCCTATTGACTTTGCTTGTCAGAAGCCAGCAATGAAAATCACAATAGTGATCACATGACTGTGGGTACTCTATACGGTCACCAACTGGTGGGCCACGAGAAAATTTTGGTGGGCCGCAGAGAAATCTCATCCCCAGAGCACCCCCAAAAAAACAATCCAGGCTGCGCAGAAACACAAGGCTGCGCAGCCCACATGGCCCACGCAAGAATCCTCCCCACCCACTCACTGCTTAGCTGGCAAACTTGCCTGCTAAATTGCTATTTTTCCTTTTTCCGACCATCATCTGTTCTGCTGTGCTAGGAGATTTAGATTAGCTAGGAAGCAGGAAATGGTTGGATTTCTTGCTTTCTAGCTAGTCTTTAGATCTTTAGCTCTGCTTTTAAGCAAAGCCTGAAGGTCCTAAGTGCAGACTCACTGCAAGCAAATTCAGTGCAGACTCACGGCAAGCAAATTTGAGAGACTGAGCTAGCCAATGGCAGATAGATAGATCACTGAATGATTCTGTGAGCAACTCAGTCTGCCTGCCTGCTTTGCCTGATTTTGGGTAAAAATTGCTTTTTTTATATAAAAAAATCAGTATTTACATACATGACGTGTTGTGAGTTTTGAGTTTGCTTGCAAGCAAATTTTATGTGACAGACTGAGCTAGCCAATGGCAGATAGATCTCTGAATGAATCTGTGATTCTGTGAGCAACTCAATCTGCCTGCCCGCTTTGCCTGATTTTGGGTAAAAGTTGCTCTTTTTTTATAAAAAAAATCTATATATATAAATATTGATAATATTTACATACTATGCCTAGCCAGTCAACATGACCACCAAGCCACACCCACAGAACCTGTTAGTGGTCCCTGGGATTAAAAATTATGAGTTTGGTGGTCCCTGAGGTCCCAAAAGATGGCAACCCCTGTTCTATACAACGGCTGTAAGTACAAGGACCTGTCTTAACTACTCATCATTCAGCACCACAGTAACTCCATAACAGTTGGTGAATGAGCAAATGTTAAATGAGTACTCGTACATGTACTTCACAACCTGTGGGAACACCCTATGAAATATTTGTATTTCAAAATGTTCAAAAGAAGTTCCATGTCCTTCATGCACTAAATTTTTTGAACAGAAAATATGTAAGTTTGCATCCAGAACAAGCTATACATCAACTTTTTATACATCTCTTACTTTAAAACAGCACAGTATTCATGTATTTTGGTACTCTTAAAGGTCAAGTTAAAAAAATACTATGTGGGCAAAAATGTTTTACAAATAATTATCTGCTTTTCTTAAGCCAGGGCTGTCAAACTCCGGGCACGGGCTAGATGTGTCACGTGCTGACCATGCCTATGCCGTTTAAAGTGGGGAAAAGTCCCGATATGTCACATGAAGCACGTCATGAGTTTGACACCCTTGCCTTAAGCTATGCAAAATAATTCATACCCAAAGTATATTTCCTATTGATAATCAGTATACAATTATAGTTTTAGTAACATATACTTTTCTATGCAGTTTCATTTTAACTACCATTTATGACTAACTTGACTAAGATACTTTCTTCATGATCTGATCTCAGTGTTATGCTGGTTTAGCAGATTAAAAACTGTTAAAACAAAATGCATATGTAAGAATTGTTGCCAGGAAATATAATGCTTACTTAAATCAAGAGATGTTCCCAGTTTTTAAAAGGAAGTTTTATTTGAACAAGTTTCACTTAGCGCAATACACCTAAAAATAAATCACAACACAATGAAAGATTAAACCAAGGTCTCAGATGTCATCTGAACACTAAGACCAAAATCCTAAAAATAAGCTGTATTGCACCTCACATTTCCCTATTAACTTAAAAAGCATAAATGTGCCTTACAAGATATTAAAAGAAAAAACTAGAACTAACATGCCAAAGGTTCACTTGAATTTCCAACACAGCTCCTATAACTTGTTTGTACAAAAAGCATGTTCCCGAACATGCACTGAAAACAGTGTTTGGTGTTATGTGGCATAAGAGCAACATTTAACATAATTGAAACAGCTTTAACCTAAATACACTTACTGCTCAAATACATTCCTACAACAAAAACTGGAAAAAGCTGAGTTGTTTAACAGGAACTTCTTTACTGGACTTACACCCTAGATGAATGTTTCAGCATATTCAAAAATACTGAACCTGAATGTTTTAAAATGATCCTGATTTCACTTACAAGTAAAGCATAAATCACAAGCTTGTATTGCAAAACTGTTAAACTTAGTTTTTTGTTTTCTTAAAAAAATTGACAAAAAAAATCAGGTGACAAGTTACATTCCCCAGCCACCACTCATGTTGGACATGTTGGACATTCCAGCCATGCCATTCACCCCCATGGATGCACGATTACCACTGCTGTAGTAGCTGCTGTTCATTGCAGTCTGGTTACCTAGAGCAGATAACATATTATACAATTTAGTACAAAAGTGCAGTGCTATTTCTAAGGCAACATGCTCCTCCCAAGTTTCCCCTCTTAGATCGCCTTGCATAATCCTGTACTATTAAAAGACAAACTTCCTTCATGTCATTGTATGTTTTAAGATGTCTATAAAGCCAACTGCAAACAGTTTGCCAGATTTTTGCAAAGCATAGAATAGAATCAAATCCTGGAACAGCTTCATGCCCTCCCTCTACTGCACAAAATAATACACATGACCACTTTACATACCATGAGATGCCAGAACTAGTTTCATGTGGTTTGGATCCAAATCTTGATCACTCGGCATTTGCCAAACTATTTTCAGATTTAAAAAAAAATCTATGCTCAATCAGGGCTCTCCATTGATCTTGCTCCTCTAGATTTTGATGTTCTAAAGCTAAAACCAAATACTTGGACAAACTCAAAATATCTACACTTCTTTGCTGAAGCATGACGACCCTCATATATATGGCTAAATAATTCAAATACAATTCTAAATAGCCTTCTAAAGAGTAATAAAAATATCTTACCATATCCACTCATGCTGCTTTGACCACCGTAGCCTCCTCCATAACCCCCACTTAACTGCTGGTTAGCTGGACCACCATAACTGGATTGGCTTCCTTTAAAGTTAAGAATATATAAGTTAATTACTATCACTATATTTTATAAAGAGTATGAATTATAGTCCACTAAACAAGAAGTGTCATTCATTTGCCCTGAGGACTACATGAAACACAAATCTGTCTTCTTGTAGCAATACTTTGTAAGCTACCCAGAGTCACTGACAGCAAGCTAGGCAGCCATATAAGCTTTATTAATTAAATAAATACTACTTTGATTCTCTTCCTTAATACTCAGGGAAGACCTCTCTAGACCAGCATTCAAATTATTTATTTTTGTGGCTTCTAAATTCATTATTGCTAGCTGGTCAATTTTTAAGGAAAGTGATTTTATTGTTCTTTGATTACATAGTACATTAGTTTTCAGAAACATTACTTTACCTTCATCTCAAGTGAATTAATTGGCTAAATATTAAGTGGTGTCCGGAAATAAAGAGATTTACATGTTCTGGGGCTTGCATTGCTAAAACACACTGTACTGTATTTGGCACTTGAAACAAGGAAAACAAAATCAACATCTGCTTACATCACCACTAATTCCTCTGCTTGTAATCTATATCAAAATAGCAAAACAGCAAAAATACAAAACGTAGCTGATCATAGTTCTAATTAAAAGCTCACTTGTTTCATTTCTCTGCAAAACATTTTGCAGTTGAAAATATGAATTTTAGTTTTCTTAACCTTATTTGGCAAAAAAAAAAATCATTCCGCAAAGTGCTATAAAAATAGCACATACCCTTTACACCACATGAAATCACTAAGAATTTCCATAAGCAAATTCAGCATGTGAAATTGTTCTATGCAGTACTAAAAGTATATGCTGAAAATCAAATAGATCTAGGAATTTAATAGGACATTACTAAAATGAATATGCTATAATAGCTGCCAATTCTACCTTTTATCCTAAATTCTTAATTCAAAAAGGAAGTAGCAACATTACTTCTCTTGTGATGGGTGGCAATATAAATTTGATATATACCAACATTCCCCACTATTATTACCACTCTCCAATCTAGAACCATTCTTTGCTCCATTCAGAGACAATATTTAACTTAATTGTCGGAATGTGTATGTAAAAGCTGCATACCTGCCAATGTGTTAGTGTTCCAATCTTGAACTACCCCTTCGGTTTCCTTGACTGTGATTAAAACAAAGTTGAATTTCAGTTTCAAGTAATTTAGAACAAACAGGAACCACATAAAATCAGCCAATTTTGTTAAATATCAGCAGCACTAATGTGAAACTAAATTGTTTACACCTACCCATTGCTCCCATCATTTGACTTCCATATGCACCACCACTTCCTCCAGCTGTAGAATTCAAGAAGAGTTCTACATATCTGTGTTCTGTGAAAACACAAAGACAACAATGCACTGAGCTTACACAAGACCATCAAATTTTCAGTGAAGACCTAAGTAACATTAGGTATTTCAATGCAAATATATTGTTCAATTATTAAGAAATACAATAATTTATTCCGCTAATATTGATAAAATGGTGTAATGCTGTAAATCAGGGATGTCAAACCTGATCGCATTGCACGCCGTGACATATCGCGATGTTTTTTGCCTTGCGGAGTCAGGGTAGGCGTGGCGTGTACCACCCCAGGCATGGCCTGTGCAGGCCGGCCAGTTTAACAGGCCTGCTGTAGATCAAGCATGCAACTTACGCATATTTGCTTTGTCTTTCGACATTGCAGCAACGGCATCCTCATGAGTAGCAAACTCAACATCCGCCTCTCCAGTGACTCTGCCATCGGGTCCAATTTCAATGTGTACTCTTACCGGATTAAGAGGCGAAAAGAACTAAATAATGAACATCATATGGAAGCTGTCAGTCCATGAAAAATTCTCATACATTAACAATTAGTTTATTGTGATTCAATTAATGGAACAAAATCAAAAAAATGTACTTACATTATAAATATCATTCTCAGTAGCTCTGTACGGTAATCCTCTCATATGTACACAATGACCAGTTGTACTTTGGAAAGTAGAGGATCCATCACCATATCTATGATCTGACATTCCTGCAGAAAGAAGAGTCCACTCTAAATCTTTTGTATGTATACTATGTTTCTTCATTGCCCGTATAAAGAATACTTACCTCTTCCAAACCTATCAGATCCAAAGCCATAGCCATCATTATATCCATTGTAGTCATCATAGCCACCATAGCCTATAAACCATAATTCAACATTTATTGAAATGAACCAAATACTGCTCATTATAGGCAATTTGTAGAGTAAAAAAAGCTGTGCTTCCTTACCTCCACCATAAGCACCACGTCTCATTCTTTCAAAACCACTGCCTCTACCAAGGCTGTTATAGCCTCTTCCCACACCTGGCCGGTCATAAGGACCAGGCCGCTGCATGGCCATTAATTTGCGAGGAGGGTCATAATGAGTGCGCACTTCTGCTCTGCTACTCTTGAAAATTTCAATGTACCTAGAAGGTTTACATACATAAAAATAGTTCAGGGTTTTTTTTTATAAACACACAAAATTACAAAAAGATAGTACATTTAAAACCCTGCAGCCTTGGAACTGACAATTATAGGCCAGTTTTTCCTAAGAATTATCCAAGGCTAATTTTAAAAAAATAGTTTGAAGTATGTGCTAATTAAGCTATCCCAACCTTAAGGGTTAATGACAGCAAACAGTCAAAATATGCTCTGGAGGGAAACATGTCCACTCAACAGGACCCATGTTTTGCTCATATGGCAATTGAGAGGAGGGCTAAAAAACTAGCCTCCGCCAGAATTTTAACCCATCAATACATTACAACAAGCTTTATGTGCTCACAAGACCTCCTATGCGTTTGCATAGCAAATTAGCATAGGCAAAAGATGCATGCTTTAATTAGTCACAAAATTTAGAATAACCCTTTGTGACATTTTTGAAAGTTAATTCTTTTATGTGAAAATTACACAAGAAAATGTTACATCATTGTATAGAACAAGTTTAGTAATCACATTTTCTTATGGTAATAAAAGGCTATGTGTATTTAGAACTAGAGGCATAATTGGTGCTATTAAGGAAATGTAAAGCCATAATCTCTCAACTTCTGTAAATAACTTTAAACTAAATCAGAATTAACAAGATAACGTGAAATAGGGAAGAGCAAAACAAGCACATCAGCCAGTCTGCACATGAATTATAAGAAAGTAATATTTATGAAAACAAAGGAGGTGTTAGAATATGAAAGTATATTGTAAAGTGAGCACTTAAGAAGAGAGAATATGGATTTAACAACAGTTTACCATAAGAAGAGCGACATATCCAACCAACCATCCATCCCCACCTGTGCCCTATTCTTTCCTTGTGTTTCTTTAGAGCCTTTTCAGCTATTTCCTGTGAAGCAAACTGCACGAAGGCCTCCCCCGTACTCCTCCCCTGGAAGTCCACCGGCAATGTTATCCCATTTGGCACGATTTCCAACCCTTCAACCCAAGGACAAATAACCCCAGTAGGGGGTAATATTAACATCACGAGCCCAATCAAGATTTTCTTATAGCTTTAAAAATATACCAGAAGTTATACTTTATATTTAGAATCAGTATACCGTAGTATTAACTCTATAACAGGAACATGTCAATATAAATGCAGCAAATATAACATTCTTAACTTATCCTGCTTGCATACAGCCACATTGCTGCAGCTTTAATAACAATATTCTCTCAAATTAATGCAGGATATGCTAAGAAAAGCAATATTCCATTTTTAATATAAACAAATTACAATTTTCAATTAAAATTAAAGCAAAGCAAGAATAATTCTACAAATCAGAATACATAATTCAAAGATAGCTATGTAAAATATTTCACAGTTCTAAAATAACAATTTGTATCATATTATTTCAAGTAACTAAAAATGTAAACATTTTTAAAGGTTTGTAGCAAAATCTTTAGAATAGACATTTTTCAATAAAATCTGAAGTTAATGCAAGTTGATCTCATATTTCAGAAATACATTTAAGATTCTTTGGACTACTGGTGCATTCAGAACATTTAAATGTAAAGCTAATTTTTATATTTCTTTTACTCTTAATTTTTGCTATATAAATGCATGAACTTTTAAGTCAATTTTATACAAACTATAAAGACATTGCAAAACATAAAACCAGTCCTTTGTACAAACATAGAAAAATAATTTTATGTATTGATATTTAATGCCAGAGAAAATGTTCGATTTATTTTAGAGTAGATAAATGTAAACAAAGTCTACGTCAAAAAAGAAAATTTCAAAATATTAGCTCTGCAAATATATCTTTAGCACATAGCAGAGATTATATCAAATCAAAAATTTAATACAAATGTTTATACTACATATTGTTTTATTCTCACTACCCCACCCATCTCCCCTCCTCCCACATTGTAAACACTTCATCTGATTAAAACTTCTGAAAAATCTTTGATATTCCTTGATATTTTGATTGATATATTAACATCAAAAGTTGGGAACTAAAATGTTTTCCACTTTCAGCCAATTTAAAAATCAACAGTTTAATTAGAGACTCAGGTCAATTTTAACAAGCATTTAAAATAATTGTCTTAGAGTTAAACAATTAAAGTAATAATTTTTCCTCCAATCTATCATAAAACAAGAATTAGGTTTTACTAAATATTTCAAATTATATAGTTCAAGTTTTTGTCTTTTTGAACACTTAAAAGAACCATTCAATATTAAAAGTGTAATAAGCATGATCATGGTTTACTTTATTACTAAATTAATACTTGGCATTATTTCAGAACCACTAAATTCTAATCTTTACCCATACTTACAGCTAGGACTTATACCCCACATACCTGAGAAAAACTGAACAATTTCTTCCTTGCTACAACCAAATGGAAGTCCTCTAAGACGTACAAAACCATCATTAGCAGTATCAGGGCTGTTAGGACCAGTATGCTTCAGAACCCAATCCATTTCAACGTTGTTTGACTTGAAGACTGCAAGAGGCACTTAGAATTAATGAATTCTGGAATCTGGCATAAAAAGGCTAATGCACGACAATCATTTGGAGAACAGGATTACATTTATACACACATAAAAAATACTCATGCATCTAAATTCCACCCAAAATAACTGATCAGTTACTATGTCAATTTAATCCAAACCTTCAACATATCTGTGTCCCATTGTTTCTCTGTCTTTTTTCAATGCCAATTTCACATCTTCTTCTGTTTCCAATTCAACAAATGCTTCTCCACTTGGTCTTCCTTCTCTTGTGTAGATAAAACGGACCCCTGAAGATCCATTTAATATTTTGCATTCTAAGAAAAAGTGAAGTGAGTTAAAAACACAAGGAGTCTTCTAGCAAAAGTCAAATGTATGTAACAATGTTTCTTAAGGCTATTATCCAAACCATAAAACTGGAAACAAAATTAAGCAAAAAATAATTGTCAAATAATTAATTCTAAAATAGGAAGAGGAAAAGATACCATTTACAGTGTACATTACAGGCTACATACAGAACAGAAATTAACTAACAATTTAATTCAGTGAGGAAAGGAGATTCTAATTAACAAGGTAATAGGCACAACCCATACAAAGTACATTGTTATCAAGATGCTCAAAACAGGAATTTCCTTCTCACCACGGGAGGTATACTCAGAACCACCACAATCTATTACTTCCCTAAAATTATGTCACCACCCAACATAATGCAATAATTATACAAGGAAAAAGGAATATTTCACATTTTACCGAACCTGAAAAGGAAAACTCACAACCGGAAATACCAAGCTGCTCCGGGAAAGGGAAAGCTTTATTGTACGGTTTAGCCAGAACGAGAGCCAGAAAACTTACCGGAGAAAAATCTTTGCACTTCATCTGCGGAGCAGGACCAGGGCAATCCCCGCACTTTTACGACATAACCCTCACCGCCTTCCGTGTTCAACATCATGCTAGATGTGAGGGTAGTCTCAGTTTCGCCTTCTGTTGCTAGGGGCAGACAAAAACGTCGCCACACTGAGTGGGGTAGAAATTTCGCAACCCGGCCCATATAACGCCCCCCAGACTTCGCGTTTGCCCATCTCCGCTTTTCCAATGCCTACCCCACGTACACATGGCGACCGATATCCTCGTCCAGGACACTGGAGACGGTTTGAAGAGTCACTTCACCTCTCCAAACACAGAAAGCCGGGCGGCTGTAGCGGTACGCGCTGCGTTCTTAGGAAATGGCGGCGAAAGAGTAATGCGTTTCCGCTCGGCCAGGCCCTAGTGCCGCTTTCACCTCAAAAAACGCGCTTCGACTGCTGCTAGTAACCTGAAGAGAACAACCGGCTGAAGAGATGGATCCCAAATTCGGAAGTTCTTCGAACTAGTCTGCAACCAACAAATTACTAAACTAAAAGTAAGCTCACCTTCTTCTAAGTCGGCCGCGGCGTGGCTGAAAATGGAGCCCAAAACGCACGCGCGTACGTTACCTCCCATAGTGCGCATGCGTCCTGAAGATTGTTTCTTCCCCTTCTCCCCCCCCCCCTTCTTTAAGCGTCACCCCACCCTCTACAGCACAAATCCGAAAGCGATTTTATTGAGAAAGAAGGTCCTACTGAATATAATTCGAAATAAAACTTCCCCGGAATTAAACTAGAGTCGCCTTCACCTTATTTAAAAAGTATGTGCTCGTTCCTGCAATCATCCTCGTTCCCATTGCGGGGAGCCTACCGGACAGGGGAAAAACCACTCGCACAGCTGAAGACAAAGCCCGCCACGTTTTTATCCTAAACTAAAATTTTGTACTCCGCTGCTCAATTAAGAAACGCATCCACAGCCTTTCAACAAAACTGCGTTTTAGCTTTTCATTTTAACCTCAGCTTAAATCAAGTTTTTGACACATTTGAGCCAATCGCTAACTTCTCAGAATAGGAAAGTGTCAATCGCGAGACTTCGCAACTACGATCACACAAAACTTTAAAAAATGGATTCATTAAGCACACGCAACAAATTTTAGACTTTCAAATACCTTTAACACTGCGCTCAAAACGTAGCCTATACGCCTATATACGGCGTATACAGAAGGCTTTGATCCTTCAGAGAAAAATTGCTAAAAGTACATAGAAACGTGGGGAAAATGGCGGCTCTATATAAACGACACTTCAAGAAATGGGCGGCGACTTGAAGTTTACTCAAATCCGCATCTAAGATACGGTGACGGCTGAGAGGCTAGGAAACGGGAACCGAAGGCAAAAAGTTCTCTGTAGCCAAAACAAGAGGAGGGTTGGCTGTGCCGTTACAGATTGGGCGAGTAGAAGCGGCATTCTTGAAGGGGTGAAGGCGGCACGAGACACAAAGGCCTTAATCACGTATCCTTCCCGCCAAACGACACTGCCCGAGTCTTAACTCCCTGAACTTCAGCTTTCAAAACCGCTTGAAAAAAGGACTCAATTGCATAAAACAGATAAGTAGCTTCGTGCCTTATAATAGTGGTTTATTATCTTCTAGAATCGAGGCCAAACAACAACATATCTATTTATTAGCTAATCCTACAAATAAAGTCCTGCTTAGGCTAGTCCTGCAACATGGGGTCCACTAAATATTTTTCTTGAGAGCCAGATTAATTGACCTGTTAAGATTGAGCATCACAATTCTTCCCCGCCTTACCACGACCAAAATAAAACATGCAAGCACTAAATAGCTAGTTCAGATTGGGTGGACTTTTAAAAATGATTTCTAATTATTAACAGGTCACAAATGTACTAAGAAAAAAAAATCATGGAAAAATTTGAAGTGTTTCCAAAAGCTTTTTATATTGTAAATTGACCATATTTTTAACACCAACATCACTAAGTGCAAGGATAGGCATTATTAAAATGTATTTGGATCAGAAAAATCTTGAATTCCTGTCATGTCTTCCACCCCAACTTCCACTCAAGCAGCATTGCAATTATAGTATTAACCTCTTGGAAACTGCCAATTCTCAATATCATGGTTATCCCAAAGGTACTTTTTCAAAAGGCAACTGGACTTTGTTTTTCCTTGAAGACATTTTGCTTCTCATCCAATAAGAAAAAGCACCTTTGGGACTACAGTTGTTCACTTATTATGGTGAACATTCAAACATCTGGAGTTGAGTATCAATTTTTTTTTTTATTTTTTCATTGCACATCGTACAACAAAATCAAACATCTTCAGTGCGTATCATGACCATGAAAATAAACAAACACACATCCTTCACCCTCCACACATGAATGAAACCCCACACACACACCGCATCAATACTGCACTATACAGCAGAATTCAAATAGCTACTGCCCTGGGTTAGAAGCTGTTTTTCAGCCTATTTGTTTGTTTTTATGTACTGTCTGCCAGATGGTAATAGTTCAAAAAAAGGGTTCCCAGGATTAGATGGATCTTTGAGAATGTTTTGAACTTTCTTAAGGCAGCAGGAGCTATAAAGCTCTTCCAAAGAGGGGAGAAGGCAACCAGTAACTGAAATGAGAATGGGGCTAAAGATCAATTCCTAAAATTCAAACCAACATGAATTTCAGGATTAAGCATTGCCACACATGAATTGTTCAAGTCTATAGATATAATAATTTAAATGATTTTATGTAGCACCTTAACATTGCACTTATTTTGCTTCATATAACTTAACAGAAACAGGTTTTAATTGTGCTATATGTATGTTTGCAAGACCCTGCAGTTTTCTTGGTAAGGTTTTTCAAAAGTAATTTTTCCATTAGCTCTTTCCTAGAGCTGAGTGGGAATGACTTGTCCAAGGTCACACAATTGGCTAATTAGAATCATGGTCTCCTTGTTTCTACTCTGGTACCAAACTGACTCTCTACTTCAGTTTTTGCTAAATACCAACATGAAGTCCAATCCATCTGGAAAGATAGGTTCAGCAAGCACCTTTATTCAGCACCTATTTAGTTCTCACCTTTATTATTTTTATAAATAACTCAAAGCAGCAAACATATCAAACACATCTTCCTCCTCCTATTTTCCCCACAATAACCAATAACCACTGTGAGGTGGTTGGGCTGAGAGAGAGAGTGACCCAAAGTAAGCCAGCTGGCTTTCATGGCCAAAGCTTGATTTCAACTCATGGCTCTATCAAAGTCGTGGCTCACAAAATGCATCATACACTTGCCATGCCCACACCCAGTTTAGCAAAGGTGGAAACGGTCATGTCACATGACGCCACGAGTTTGACACCCCTGCACTAGACCAACGATTTACTTGACTTGACATAGGGAGAAATCTAAAAAGTATATTTTAATATTACAATACATACTTGCATTTATTTTATTTAAGGTATGCGTTTGCTCTCAATTCATTTGAATCAGGAGACATCACTGAAACAGTGGCAATTTATCAGGACTGGCTTACCTGGCTATTGAAACAGTTCTGAGTCTGACTTAGAATTTAGACGGAATTATTTATCTCCATACAACTCCTGAGATGATTCCTTCTGCCAAAACTGGTTATGATTTGAAATGTATTACTGATGACAAATTGAGATTACAGCCATAACATTTAGATAATATAGAATACAATCTGAGGACAACTGAAAGATTTAAGCAAACTTCAAACTTTCAGACTTGCAAGCTCTTGAAGTTAAATCTTTCAAAACTATATACAAACCAGAATATATATACACTGGCAGAGATCCCATTGAGGCACAAAGTTAGGATCATATATTCTCTCAATCTAGATGCAGCCACTTCCCAAGTTGAATTAACCACAAAACAAAATAATTGAATATACCGGTATGCATAGCAAGTTTTGATTTCGCCACATACTATATCTACCTGTATTATACATAGATCATAACCATCTTCCAATTTAAAGTTGTTTGGAGAGTGGGAGTAGGATACAAATGTAATATAAAATATATATCCCTAGTCAAGTATTTTGTTTCCCCTTTCTATCACATTAAATTATAATTTGGTGATAATCTTATAGTTTTGAGATTGTATCTTGACCTTCATGCAAGTTCCCAATCACCATCTTGCTACAGCAACACATTTTCTTAATTCAACTGATACACATTTAGAGAATATCTTAATTTTAGGTATATAGGCACAAAATTGATTATTGCTTACAGCAATTGAAGTGCTGACAAATCTAAACCCTAGACTCGTCTTTTGATGGTTCTTATGTCAAGATTCCATATACTGTACATACTCACTGTTGCCAGGAAACAACAATGGAGACTCAGTTAAGAGATTCTGATGTTGATTTAAACATTTAAAGTAAATATTGCTATTAAAATGGAAATTTCAATACTTAGCCTAGTTTGACTCTTATATTATCCATAGATATTAAATGCCAAGGTATCTGCAATCTATTCACTGATCAATCTAATTAATTAAATATTAAGGCTGCAATCCTAAATCTGTACTTAAGCAAATTCATCCACAATTTCAATTAGATTCTATTTTCAAATGTACATACTTTATTCCAAAGGTGCTTTTTCAAGAGCAACTGGACTTTCTGGTTTTTCTTTGAAGACATTTCAATTCTCATCCAAAAAGCTTCAGTTCTAACTGGATGGTGGGGATTTATATTCATTGCAGACAGCTGAACATTTGCATTCTTTTACAGAGGTTGAACCAGTTGGAGGTTTGTCAGTTTCCTCAGGATCACCCAAGTACTAGTGCAAATGAATGTGGAACCTTCTTGGAACTGCTGAAAGGACTGTGTTCCTGTGATCTGCAGGAATAATTTGTGCTTCAGTTTGAGATGCAGACAACAACAGCCTGTGCCTGTGCTCACCAGTGAAGGGACACAGGGCAGAAAACATCCTGCAGAAAGCACAACTCCACAACATAGTTCTTTCAACTGTTCCAAGAAGGTTCCACACCCATTTGCACTACTCAGGTAACCCTGAGGATATAGATAAACCTCCAAGTGGACTTTCTAAAAGAATGCAAATGACCAGCTGCCTACAAGGAATATAAATCCTTCTATTCCCCAACATCTAATCAGTTGAAGAAGCTTCTTGAATGAAAAGTGAAACATCTTCAAAGAAAAACAAGAATGTCCAGTTGCCTCTTGAAAAAGCATCTTTGGGACAACCATGACTGAGAATCTCCATAGACAAATATGCTTTATTATTAGGCTCTATGTAAGTAGAAAGATGTAAAACGTAGGGCAGAATTAGAATTAGATGCACTTGAAAGCATTTGCAAAACATTTAGTATATTTTCTATTCTCTATTTTTAAAATATAGAAATGCATGAAGTCACTATAGCATAAAGGGAGAGAAGAAAAGGAATTCAACTGGAATATCTGGAAAATTTTCACGTGAAATCTGGCTTTATGAGGACAATGAGGTATACATCTCTTGCTACTTAGACACTTTAATGCTAGAAAAAATAAATTAAAAAATCCTTCAGAGAAGAATGTAATCATGTATTTGAATATTACATATTCAAGGTTAGTTCTCTTTAATGCCACTTTCTAAGGAATATAAATGATATATTACAGTGTCATAAATGTTCATATACTCATGAATCTTTAGATTCAAAAACAGATGCATTCAGTGGTTTATAACAGCAGATGTCAGCAATGTCTGGTTGAATTTTAATCAAGCTTCAGTGTATGCAAAACTCTTCAAGGCTATGACAATTTTAAGAGTAAAGTAAAATACAGACACAAGAAATATTTTCTAATTTTTTGAATGTAACTTTCTGAAAACTACAAATTCTATGAATGTTTATAAAGAACAAGAGTAATATGTAGAAAAACATTTTTAAAGAGTTTAGGGAAAAATTCCAGTATCATGAAACTGAGGTAACTACTACTATACTCAGACATGAAAAAAGTAGTAACATACTCATCTGAGACAGTGCAATCCTAATTATTAATTGAAAAAAATTAATTGAACTCAGGTGAAATACAATCTGATGTTCTTTTGGAGAATGGATTTTGACAACCTGCAAGGCATATCCATTTTGGTCTTAGATGTTAATGAAAATTTCAGAAACGATGCAATAAAACAAGAATACCAGTTAGAACAAGTAAGCATTATTTCTCCTTAATTTACAGTGTCATTTTTAAACTCATTACTAAGGGCTCAGTTCATAACTTTGTATTGTGTACCTATTCTTGGAATAATTTGTTTATCATGCCAGGTTAAAATACATCTCATTTTGGAGCAGAATGATACATGAATAACCATAATAAATCACTTTGTATTTTATAGGCAACGAAACTTCAAATATCTCAAGGCATTCCATCCTTTTCATTTTATAGCATTACTAGCAAATTCTTTTATAATCTGCACTATATTTTAATTATATTCTAAATTTTCATGCGA